TGCATACTGGGCTCCAGTCACACAAACAGCATTCTACTACAAATCTCCTGTCACTTAAACCAATCTTAAATTCAAGTTAACCTGGATCCCATGAATTTTCACCTTATTTATTAGTTTCCCATTTGGAACCTTGGCAAAGGCCTTGATGAAATCCATATAAACTCCATCAACTGCCCTACGCACGTGTAAACACTTGGTCATCTCCTTGAAAAATTCAACCTCCCTCTGGCAAAGTCATGCTGACTGTCCCCAGCCAAACCCTGCCTCTCTAAATGGATTTTCTCCAATAGTTTTCTTACCACTGATATTAGACTCACTGGTCTTTAGGTTCCTGGTCTATCTCTATCAACCACATTAGTTGTCCTTCAGTCCTCTGGCACCTCCCCCTCACCAGAGACAATTTAGAAATGTGGATCAGGGCCCTGTAATTTCCTCTTGTCTCCCACAGCAGTTTGCAATACAACGCATCCCAACCTGGAGATTATCCACTTCTAAAATCCACCAAAACCTCGTCACTTCTTATATCAATGTGCTCAAGAAATTCCGTCCATTTCTCCAATTTTATACTTGCATCCTCCTCTAGAGTAAAGATAGTTCTACATATTTGTTTAGGGGATTGGGATTCAAATAGGGTAAAGCAGTGACCACAGAAACTTAAGCAGAATGTGTTTTTGATAACTATCTCTTCGACAGACCAAGTGATGGGGCATTGATGAGCGCGCTTACGTCAGCAACCCCACGAAAGCAGTTTTCAAGTCACAAAATACTTCAAAGTTGCTTTTTTTTTAACATTGGTTGAAACTAACTTGCATCCACCAATGGTCTTTGCAGAAATATTAACAACAGAATTTTCTGGGTCAGCTTATCATGCAATCATTGAAGTACTGAAAGGCATCAGACTAGTGCAAATTGGCAGTAAATTGCTAGCTGCACTGAAATTAGAATGCAACATATGACAGCACAAGGGAGAATCAAGTTGAATATTGAAAGTTAGAAGTATTTTTTTAAAAGGAGGGGCATAAAGAGATGAGAAGAGATTGGCAGCTTGTGTAAAAAGGAAATGGTGGAGGCATACAAACCCAGCGAAGAGGGGCAGGGTGAATAGGTAACAAAAAGCAATTCACAGGAAGTGATCAGGACTGAACAGGATGTATTCAATGCGCAGAGGATGAAAATTGCAGATGCACTAGTTTTAGTTTTCCAAACATCCTTAGATAAAGGCGTGCTGACAAACGCCTAAAAAACTTCAGCTTTCGTCGCTGTAGGAAAATGAATGAATGAATGGGACCTACTGAGTTACTCTTGCAGAGAGCTGATATAGAATCAACAGGATAAATGATCTCCTCCTGTCCTGTATCAGCCTATCATTTTACAAGTCACTAGTTTTCCAATGTATACAGTTGCCATCAAACACTGCAAAACAAAGAACATGATTCAAAACAAAACACTAAAAAAGTAATTTGGATACAAGTCTCGTGTACAGCATTTTATAAGTCAAACCTTTTATTAAAAAGGAGGCTGGTCCAGTGCAAAGTGACTGAAAACATTTTGCGTTACTCACAAAGTCTGGGAGGAAAAATTCAAATGATCTTGCCATTCAGCAGTAGGGATATTGGTTGTTGAGGGATTTGACAGACAGCAAGGATTCCCTTTGTATATTTCAGTTTAGTTTATCAGTGGAGTAAACAGTAAATTTCCATTTGATTATTTTGATGGTGTGAAAAATTCTTAATTGCCAGTAATTTTTCTTTTGAGTCAATTTTATTCTTTGGAGTATTCTACCTCAAACCAGTGTAATGGGCAACCCACACAGACCAAATCCAATATTTAAAATATAGAAGTGCAACAGGCAAACTTGCCACCAGGGACACTGCTGCCTCACAGCGCCAGGAACCTGGTTTGATTCCATCCTTGGGCAACTGTCTGTGTGGAGTTTGCACATTCTCCCCGTGTCTGCGTGGGTTTCCTCCCACATTCCAAAAATGTGCAGGC